GGGTCCTTATTATAAGTATAGTATATTGTACCCAAAAGCCATATTCTAAATATTAAAGCCCCTTTCTTACTCTCGGCCCTGAGCCCTCAATGCGGAGCCTAGGAACGTGGACACCCCGTACCACCTCCCTCCGCCGGAGAAACCCGCGGAGAAGCGTTCCTCGGTAAAACAACAGATCTCTGCAAAGTCTCTTCCAATATCTGTCGATCCGTCTATGCAGCTATATGTATGTGTATATATATATAGATGATGTCTATGTACACACACACACTCTCTGTCTCTATATACATATATACACACACACACACGCCTCTCTCTCTCTCGCTCTCTCTCTCTCTCTCTCGGTTTCTGGAGTGTGTGTTTGGAGTTGCTTTGTATTGGAGTTCGGGTGTTTGGCTGCTGTAGGGTAGCAGGTTCAGAGAAGCAATGTCGCTACAACGGTGGAATGTGCACTCGCGACTATCCCCCTAAACCCGCAACCCTACAAATGGCCTAAACCGAAAAGTGGAGAGCGAGAGAGCTTTAGTGAATCAGGTCGCAGAAAATATACGCTACGCAAACTTGGACTCAGATTGAACTAGGTGACAGCTTGCTCCAAGCAAACCAGCTGCGCAGCTTCCAGGGCTAAGGGTCTGCGTTCCAAAGTGTCTCGGGGATGTCAGATGGCCCCTAAACCCTAAACCCTAAATCCTAAACCCTAAACCCCTAAACCCTAAACCCTAAGCCCTAAATCCTAAGCCCTAAACCCCTAAACCCTAAACCCTATATCGTAGATCAGCCTCGCCTGGAGTGTGTCCGAGTCCGAGTGCGAGCGCCGAAATCAGCAGCACATCCCGCTCCAGCCCTAAACCCACAAGCCGAACCCTAATGTAGGGGCCTAAATAATTACCTGTTGAATTTTGGGGGTTCCTTATTATAATTAAAGTATGATATATCCAAAAACCCTATTCTGATTATTGAGGCCCCTACATTAAACTCCCAAACCCCGTGCAGAACACTCAGATCCCGCTGACGTGCCGGTCGCCGTCGACCCACTTGTAGAAGCTTGGCAACGCGGGCACTTGCGGGAGGTAGCTTAGCATGGGAGTTGGGATTAGGGCCTTAGGGGGACCCTTGGGGATATAGACCCTCTCAATAAGGTCCCTTTTAAGAGAGCCAAAAGTAGGGTTCAGAAGGGGTACCCTTTAAGTGGTACCTCTAATAATACTACCTATAGCAGGCCTCTACGTGCTGAAACGTCCTAAGCCACAATACACCGGCTTATAGTTCCTGATGGTGGTACCGTAGTACATCGTTTAGGGTTTAGGGTTTAGGGTTAACCCTATACACACGGCCCTATAGTCCACATATTGAGACCTAGACCCCGCGCATTATGACGTTAGCTTGCCCAAGGGCTTGCCATGCCGCGGCCATGCTCTTGTAGCTCCCACAGAATTTGACCATCATATACCCCCAAATTCCACAATGTATCTCAAAATTCCTCGTCTAGCCATAATACATCCCAGAAGTCTTATTCCAACCGTCATCCCTCTTGAAGGAAGCCCCCGAAGCTAACGGGTTTCTTCAGGAATCCCATCAGGAACTGCTCAGGCCCGGAAGGTCCTGCAGGTACTTATCGTAGAAAGTCGGGCTTCTATACTAGGGTTTAGGGGTTTAGGGTTTAGGGTTTGGGGTTTAGGGTTTGGGGTTTAGGGTTTGGGGTTTAGGGTTTAGGGTTTAGGGTTTGAGGTTTAGGGTTTAGGGTTTAGGGGGCTTGAGTAAGTACATATCCCCCATACCCTACATCCCCATACGCTAAACCATAGGTACCTAGGGCCGGAGCTGTCAGTCGTCTGTTTCAGGGCTTGAGGAGTTCGCTTGGGGCTTTAAGTAATATATAGGGGCCTCAATAATTAGAATAGGGTTTGGGGGTATAGTCATAGTGTACTATACTTACAATAAGGAACCCCCCCAAATAATATTGGTAATTATTTAGGCCCCTACATTATAGGGGCTCATTGGGCTTAGGGTTAGGGCTTAGGATTTAGGGTTAGGGTTGCAGGGGTGTAGGGGGCGGTTCCGCGTGAGAGAGGCCTGCTGCAAAAAGGGGTGTAGGGGTTTAGGCAAAAGGGCTAAGGGTTTGAATGACGAACCAATCGTACACCCGAGGGTTTCTTTCCGGGAATGAGTACTATAGTCAAAGGACCTACAGATTCCCATCGTAAGTATTCAGGCCTCCATTATGTGCGGGGCTTTGGCTTTTTGTTTATGATCTCAATGCTAGGCAGTGTTATGCTTAAGTTTTCTTCTTCAGGGTCTTAAGAGCTTCCTGCTTCGGGGTTCCTTTCGGGAGTTTAATTAGGTTTAGGGTTTAGGGTTTACGTTCAGGGCCGTAGGAGTTTTGGGATTTCGGACCCAGTGCTGCTCGGGTGTTTGCTGCCTGGGATCTTGGCAAACCCTAAACCCTAAACCCTAAACCAGCGGAAGACTTGCTTCCCGAAGCTCCTCCGGTCGTCTGACGTAAGAACTTGTTCTGGTTTCAGGAAGTTGAAACTCCTTAAGGTTTATAGGGTTTAGGATTTAGGGTTTAGGGTTTATGCAACTCAGATTCCCTCTATACTACAATCCTTCCCTAAAGCCCTAAGCCCTGAAAGCCCTAAAGACCGACTTCGCTCAAGAATCCGTACTTACTAGGTCCTTGCTGAGACTTACTGGCCCATTAAGCGAAAAGCACGGTGCCAGGTCGCATGGGTAAAGGGTTTCCGGTCCACCGGCGGGGAAAAATAATTCTATTCTGGTGGTTTTTTGTGATCGAAATCTATGGTCCGCTGGACGAGGTAGCCAGCCCATAGGTGTTCCTGGCTGCAGGTTATATCGGAGCCTTGATAAGTTGAACCGGGTTTGGGGGACGGGGTGTCATTTTGTAGCACATCTAGTCTTACTAAGTATCCCACGTTAGGGTTTGAGGGCTTCCGGGTTGCAATAAGGGTTTATGGCTCAGGGGTTTGATCGATCTGGTCGGCCGATCTAGCTGCCGAGGCTGTGTAGTTTTCGATGTTGGGTTCCTTTCTTGTTGTTTGGAAAAGTTTTGCAAATAAAAAGTCACAGAGATGACCATGACTTTGCGGCTAGTCTTCCTGGGGTTGTGAATGTGTTGCTGAGGGATGGTAGGTTTCAATGTCTAGTTTGGCCACCTGCTACTGAGGACTTTGCACAAGCAGTCTGGCGCCCAGTCGAGGGTTGTGTTCCGGTGATCGTCGACGTATTCCTGGTCGCGTGGTGGTGATGGTTTGTAGTCGTGGTCGTCGCCGTGTTTGAAGTTGTAATGTAGAAGCCCAAATAATTACAATACTATTTTGGGGGTTCCTTACTATAATTATAGCATAGTGGGCCCCAAAACCCTAGTCTAATCATTAACGCCGTTTAGGGTTTAAGGTTTGAGGTATGTCGAACTTCATGGCAAAGCAGGAAGACACAATTGGTGTGCATCCGCAGTGTTTAGTCTATCTACGGAATCTACGGGCGCCTCAAGCATCGGGACCTCTAAATCCGAAGTAGAATGGTCCACTTTATCGCGAGGGTTTAGGGTGTCAAGCCGGTAGCTTAACCCGAACTTGCACCTAAAACCCTAAACCTGAAACGTAAGCCCTAACCGATGCCCTTATAGGCCCAAACTTCTACCCTAAAATCCTACGTTGTAGCCCAAACTCCAAACCTTTGCATGCAACTCCTCACCTATACCCAGCGTCTGTGCCCGAGGTTGTGCGTCGCTGCATGCAGCTGGTGGATGTCGTTGCGGGCGAGGTTGAAGCTGGCCATGACTGCTCCTTCTTAGAAATTTGGGATTTTGAGAGCAGAGGATATTTGAGGTTTAGGGTTTAATGCTCCTTCTCTGAAAGGGGCTAGAAATTTAGAGGGGGTTTGGACAGCTAAGGGTCTTAGGGGTACAGGGTTTGATGTTTGGGGCAAAGCTTTTTGACTGCTCCTTGTCTTGCACTTACATAGCCGAAGCCCATATGTATATATATATATATATATATATATATATATGTCTTGTCTAGTTTGGAAAGCTTGCTTTTTAGGGCCCGGTTTTTGAAGAAGAGAGTGCACGAGGCCAGCCATTTAGCGGTTTATGCGGTTTGGGGTTTTGGGCGCTAGGGTTTTGGGGCTTCAAGGTCTGAAAAGCTCAAGGGTTTAGGTGCTTTTGGTTCGGGGTGCAGTATGGGTTCGTGTCATAAAGTGGCTAGAAGGATCTGCATTTCTGCTATAAGGGTTCGGGCCACGACGCGGGTTCATATCTGGGATGTTAATGGGTTTTCGGGGTTGCATCCAAGGATCCTTCTAGATTTAAAGGATCTATAGTTCTGTTAGGGGTCTTATGATAGAGGTGACTAAATCTGAATAAAGGGTTGTTTGGGCTGAGAAATGGGCTCAACAATTACAAAAGGGTTCCTTGTAACGGGTTCAGGATTCCCTGTAAGGGTTACCAGAAGGTGTATTTTGAACATGCAGTGGGCTAGAGCTTTTCAGGGTGTTATATATGTATACATAATTGAATGTAATGCAATGTAGTCTAACATAAAGTAACGTCTACACCCACACACCCACACACACACACACACACCCCCCCCACACACACACACACACCCACACCCACACACCCACACACACACACACACGCACCGACACGCGAATATAACCAACAGAGCATGAACTAAAACCTTATTGCACGATGCAACGTAACATAGAGGTGTGGAGGTGTATGTGTGTATACATGTGTATATGTATATATATATATATACAGAGAGAGAGAGAGAGATATATATATATATATATATATACATACATATATGTGCGGCTTTGGCAGGACGAGACGGAAACTATGTATGCATGTATGCATAAAAAAACATGTATATACACATGCGATAACATATTGGGGTTCGGGGTGGACTTTAGGTTTTAGGGTTTGGGGTTTAGGAACAGGTTCAATCCAAGTCTGCTATCAAAAAAGACGAGGAGCCATTACTGGCGGTAGATAGAAGCAGCAGCTTCATAATCCCAAATCGGCGCCCCAAGCCCTACAATCTCGCAAACTCCTGAGAGCGAGCCCTCATCCCTAGAATACCACCTAAATCCGAAATCCTTCCAACAGGACTTCGAAACCTCAGATCCACACCCCTCGACTCGACAGTCCTTAGCTGAAAGAGCCGAGGCCTGGATCATGACAGAATCGTAATCATATTTCTGTTCATCATAACGGCCATACTCAGAATCCTTTTTCATCATAATGGTCATCATCACAATAATCATTATCAAAAATACCAGAATGCAATGAATTTGTGCAGGTGGAAATCATCGAAAGCTGAGGCCTGGATGAGGATCATAAGGACTATCAGAAAGGCCATAACGCCTTAATAAAGTCCCTACTACAATCATAATCAGAGTCGTAATCAAAATTCTACTTGCAATAGTCCTAGCAAGTACGGTTCATAGCCCCCGATGATCATAAACAAATTTCATAGTCGCAACCTCACTAGCAAGAACAATGTCTCTTTGTGGTCCCTGATCTAAAACTTTAAACCCCCTAAACCCTAAACCCTAAACCCTAAACCCTTGTGCGAGTGTAGACCCTAAACCCTAAACCCTAAACCCTAAACCCTAAACCCTTGTGAGAG